TTCTGTATTTATTATTGCCTTCATTGCTGCTCCTCCAGTAGACATTGATGGTATTCGTGAACCTGTTTCAGGGTCTCTGAAATCCAATTATTGTAGGTTCTTTGTAAGTATTTCTGTTTCTTTTTTCATCTTTTTTTTCTCTCTTCTCAGTTAATACTTTTTAGAGGTGTCCAGCATAGACCTTAATGCTGAGGAATACAAGTTACCCGTTTCAAAAAAAAACAACAAGAGATTGGAGCAAGAGGTAATATTGTGGTGTATGGTAGAAGGCTCGGCATAAGGGAAAGAGAAGTGTTGAAGAAGGTGAGAGTTAAGGGATAGATATATCATATATCGTTTATTGATGTTAAGATCTTGTCTTAGGATGTGAGATAGTGAATTGACCAAATAAAAGGTCATCATCAAGTGGGAGATAGAGAATACGAGGTGGATATAGTGTTTTTAGAAAACTAAAATGAGTTCTATAACTACCACAATTCTAAGAAGTGTGTGAGGGAGTTGCATTAAGTATGATCCGATTCCTACATTTGGAATGCAAGACATCCTATTATTATGCGAGAGGAAGATAGATATAAAGGAGGTAACAAAAATTGTGCGTTTTTTTATTACAACTCCGATTTAAACTCTAGGAAGCAGAAAAGAATGAGGTTTTACTGAAGATTTTGGTGGAAGACATTAGACTGTTTGACATAGTCATGCTTGGGAAACTATTGTGGAGATTTGGAAGAAGGAACAGACTTTTTGGAGGAAGCTGATAGTGGAAAAGTGTGAATGAAAGATGGATTATTGGAAATATCACACTTCCATTGGAGTACGAATTATGGAGGATGATCATGAAGGCATGAGAAGATTTCAGTGACTACATGTATTCAGAGTATCGAATGCTTGATTAGTTTTTTAGTTTCACAAGTGGTGCTAGGAGGATGCACAGAGACTTGCATGCTATACCATATATAGTGTTTTGAGCTAGTAGAGATGACAGTACGATAGATCCTGATTATACAAGATGGTGAGGTCAATGTGACTTGAGGTTTAAGAGGAGTATACATGTACAGGAGATGTATGATTTCCAAACTTGATGAAACTACTTTACAAGAACTCATCGCATACTACCAAACTCGTGAAGATGGAGTATGAGAAGAGTTAGTTTGTTCTCAGTTAAATCATACTGCTAGAAACTAGTAGAAAGCGAAGAGTCGGATTTTTTTAACTTGTAGGATTGGGTCCCCAGGTGTTCCTTGGAATGTGTGCTTATTTGTTTGGTTGGTATTAAGGAAGCGATAGTGAGAGTTGAGAACCGAGGGAGAGGAGGATCACTTATTCACTTATGTAGGTTGGTGCTTTATGTGCAAATGTTTGAGAAAATATACAAGTCACTTCCTTCTGTACTGTTGGTTTGAATTTACTGTGGTCAATGCTAGCCGCTATGAGAGGAGGAAGAGATTATATACAGTTGGAACTTTAGAAGAAGGAAACGGCACAGGCATGGGATGTTTACCCTTCTAGCCTTCCTGTGAGTATATAAAATAGAGAAAGAAGAGAACAATTTGAAAGAGTTGACAATGATTTTGTATATTTGAGGAGTAGCCTCTTGTCTGTAGTTACTCTTTCGTGCACCCTTAAGGTCCTTGGTTGTATAGAAGATGGGGTTTCTCTTACAAAGAATCATATTTTTACGTAAGTTTTTTATTTTTTTGGTGTACTGCTTATTTTACGGAAGAAACATTACTTTATTAAAACTAATTTGGTTACCCATGAGTGACACCTTGCCAGGTATATATTTGTTGCAGTAGTTATCTGGAGATCTCATATGATGGAAATCAAGGAAGACAGAAATGATGGATCCTTGGTTTTAGTCAAGCTCGGAGCTGAGGCTGTAAGTTATCCAAAGTTCATGTGCCATTTAACTTCCCTGCAAATGTTTTTTTCTTTTGATAAAGAACTTTCCTGCAAATGTTTTTATAATATCTCTCTCCTATCTCTGTGCGGCAAGTTTATTTTCATTCATGTCTTTACACTGTAAAGATCACAAACCATAATATGCTAGTCTCTCCGCTGATGTTATTTCACATTGGGATTTATCTAATATTTTGGATTTTTACTCCGTAGATAGCTGAGAGTTTCATGTCAACTTTGTGCTAGGAGGTCCAATGTTTACAAAGAAATACAGGCATCTAATTGTGGAATCAGAGCTTACTCGTGAAGACTTAAATGGGTTGGTGTAAATGATACCAGTTGTATTCTTTAGTCTCTTCATACCTCAAAGCTGTGCTGCTAACAATTTTGAATAACAGAGTTGGAGGCCAGGTGCATGACAAAGCAATACTCTAGTGCTTTATGCAATTGAAGCTGCTACGCATCTCACCTTTGAGTATGTTGAAGGTCCCTCGTGAAAATATATTCCTTGGTTTGGTTTACTTGAGATTATTGAAGAAACGGTCACAGATGAACTGATTGATGATGCTATTGGAAAACTACATAATGGTGGCATTTTCCATGGGTTTTGGTGACATCAAACATGTCAATGAGGTTTGCTGCCAATCTGCTGGTGAGCATTATTCTGTTTCTGTATCCTTAATAAGTGTCTCAATTCTCATAATTGTCTTTTTGATCAACTTTGTTTCCTAATTTGCATTTTTCTTCTCTTTGAATAGGCTGATGTTCTGCATTCACCTTTTGTAAAATTAGGTACTATCCAAATTTTCTTTTTCTTGCGGGTACTGATTGACTTTTGACTAAGCATTACTTCAACACTTCCAGGTGATAAAGCAGTGGATTTATATGTACTGGAAGTGCTCTCTATTCACTCTTCTTGTTGAAATCTAATAAGCTTGGTCATATTACCTATGTTATATGTTATTTGACATGTTCTAGAATGAACATCTTCTCAAGCGTTTTGTTCTTCTCTTATCTATACTTTTTTTACTGATATGTGATCTCTACAGTAGATCATAATCTGTTCCAGGGAAAGAAAGTGTTAAACTTTTGGTAACTCTTTTCAAATAATTTTTTCCGTTGTCCCAAGTATTAATGCCATTCAAGTATTGTGCAAGAAACCTGCAGTTATTCCATCTAAGCAGTATTTCTAGTGGTATTAATGGTTTTCTACATCTCTGAAAGTGCTCTTTTCTGTCATGTGCTTCTGATGAGAATTTTTTCTGATATTAGACTAAGCCTTCTTAAGGATTAAGTTGGTCTTAATGCGAACCTATCACTTCTATTTTGCTTGCTCTTGAGAATACAAGTTCTGCTTGGCACGGCATTTCACATTGGTGTCACTGAGCTGTACAATTCTCTGATCTCTTCATTTTTTGCAACCAACATAGATAGCGATTTTACTTTTAGTCTCGACCTGTAACCGTGAGCAGATGGGCCAGATAATTGCTGCATACAAGAAATCCTGAAAGTAACGGCTGTTCTTGTTCAACAAGCTAGCCAAGGAGCAACCTATGTTCCTATATGTCTCTTTCTGTTAACTAACTCGTTTTCTTCGGAAGAATGAATCGTGTCAAATATCAAATACTATATCTTACTGTGTTTCTGCTTTGGGTTTTGTGATATATCAGTGAGGCTGAGAGATAGAAACCGTAATATGATTTGTTTAGCTTCCCAGTTAGAGTTGAACTATGTTCTTGCTGTGCATCTATTACCTTTTTTGTTTTATTTTTCAAAAAGATCAAGTTTATATGCCTTTGTCTCTTCTAAAGGGTAAGTGTCTTGCCTATCACTCCAACTTATCAATTGCAGATGCCTGTATAATCTTATATGACTAAATCATCAAAGCCGTCCTCTTAACTATTTTTCTCCTTTGAGGTATACATCAGTTCTTTCTATTAATTTAGAGAGGGACAGTACTATCATGGTAATCTGGCTTGTCCTATGCTTGTCTCATGGATCCTAGGACAACTGCATTCTTTAATATATTTACCTCTTCTCTTTGCACCTCTTTATTCCCATTCAAAGTATCATTCAATAGTGTACTTAGAAATATTCTTCAGACGTTCTTAATTTAGGGTCATGTTCTCTAAGGCACAGCAGATCTGAGATATCCTTTTCAGAAACAACAGACCATAGTTATGTGCAGAGATTAAAGGGAGTTACATCTCTATGCTGCGGGAATTTATTTTTCCTCTGCTGTGGAGAGCACGACTTAGCAGAATGTTTGGTCACAATTAGAGCGGACAATGTTTTTGTCTATGCCTGTCAACTTTCCTTGTTTAAATTGTTCTTCACACATTTGTCCTGTTTATGCATTTTTACAATATGTTTGCTTGTTAAGAGTGCCCTTACTTTTTCATGAATAGTTTTCCAATTGCTTTACATTAAATATCAATGCTAGGGGCAGGAGAAACAGAATGCTTGGAGCACTGACAGATATGTTTTGGTTGCTAAGTCGGGTTTTTATTGTGGTTCTAACTCATTTAGAGTTGCCCAGAATTACAAATTTTCTGTTCATACATGGTGATCTGTGTTTTAAAATTTCTTTTGGTTGGCTGCATATTTACATTTTATGAGCCCAGAAGGCTGTACATTATAAACATGACATTTTCCATGCCATGTGACTGCATGTGAATCAGTATAATTGAACTACATCTGTGGTCCTTATAGTGCAATTAAATGCATTACTATAGTATTTGATTCAACAACAACGACACACGTAGTGTAAATTCCACAAGTGGGGTTTGAGGAGAGTAGGATCTATGCGGACGTTTGTGGGGTACAGAAGTTGTTTCTAGTAGATCCTCAGATCAAAAGAAGTGTCTTATAGTATTTCATTTTACTTCCAAAACATAGGTTCTGCTTTCATGCTGGTTTAGGTCATGGCTATGTCAATTTCAATGCAATTTGAGAAAGTACAATGTTTTTCTCACCTAATAAACGCTTGAACTCTTTTGCAACTCTCTCAAATGTGCTACAGTGAACCAAGTTATTTCGTTGTGTTTTGAGTTAGGAGTTAAGCTGTATCTATTTGATTATTTACTCATTAAAACTTAAAGTAAAAACCTTATAATAACTTTGATTGATCAATACATTTTGAGAGATTGCACTTCTTCCTGTCGCTTTTAAACTTTGATATTGTTCTTTCCTTGTGAACTATTTTGACTAGGCTACAAAATGTAAAGAACTACATACGGGATTTACCTTATGGTACTAGCACTACCTGGTCAAGTAAAAAAAGAATAGCACATCCTGACACGATTGCGAGTTTACAAGTTGATGTAATATTCTTGGCACCATTATGTAATCTCTCTCTATGTTTTCATTGATAGGGAAGTCATCACATCACTCTTGGATGTGCATTCACTAGTGCAACGGACAGATACATACACATGTGCCAAGTGGTGATCAAACTTTGAGCATGACGCCAATTCTGGAATCGCGATACCAGGTCCACATATTTACCCAAATATAGTGTAGTACAAGATTCTCTTTTTTAAAAGAAATATTTTTTTATTTTTGGAGATGTAGTTAAAGTTGCTAGTGACACTGGTGGTGAATTTAAGTCACACGTTGGGATGAATTCTGATGCAAGAGCTTACACAAATTTAGCCAAACACTCAGTAAGTACTCTTCTGACTTTTTGCCTTTTACAGCAAACACCAGTCAGATGAAAACTTCAATATAATCTGCAGTTTCTTTAGAGTAACGTGTTGCTTTAGTTGGGAATGAGAGTCTTTGATTTCTGATTGACAAAGCCAGTACTACTGCCAAGTTTGTGCACTTAATCTTGTTTACTAACATCATTTACATCGACATATTTATCGTGTTTGTTGGTACAATATAAATGTGATCTCATTACATGTATATATATTTCGAGCTTTTTTTGGTCATGTGTGTACATTGTTTGAGTTGAACGTACACAGAACCCGCTTTATATTTGCCTCTGATCATTGACCAGTATTTCTCGTCGATCTTATTGTGTCTGACGGAAAATCTGGAGTACATAGTGGACCAATGTGGCATAGTACATTATTATGTGTGATTGATTTAACTTATTGACTAGTTTATTCATTTGATTCCAATTAAATTAGCTAGCTAGTAGGTTGAGGTCTCGTGTTAATATTATTATGTAAAGAAATAATTCCGCCAACTTACAATGACAAGTTCGATGAGTGAGTTTGTACCCCTAAAAACTTGATCAAACGCCTCAACTCTCTAAAATAAACACAAAAATAGTGAAAATATATAAATTTATTACCTTTTGACTTTTTAGATACTTGGCCAACATGCTGCAATTTAATACATTAGTATCAAACACGAACACTAGTGATTACCAATATAATGTAAACACATAAACATCATTTTGAGCATAACATAAATGAGGGATCAAACGTTATTGCATAAATTCATCAACTAGATAAGTGACTAATTGTCGATTTCTTTTGTAAGACAAGAATGTCCATCTCAATTTATGTGGATTGTTGTTCAATTTATTCTTCTTCCAATAAAGCAGTCGTAGAGTCATGATTTTTAATAAAAGGAACTCAATATATAAAGAAGTATAAATACGTGAAGAGTTGAAAGAGATTAAACATTCGGTTATGTATATTAAAGAAATATTTTGAAGATATATATTGCGTAAGTTTCCTACGATTGGAATCAAATGAACCCTATACGCTCCTAGCTTCCAACACTTGGTGGGGGCGAGGGAGATTGAGAAGTTATATGAATGATCAACATCTCAAGTTGGAAGGTTGTGAGTAGTTATTAATTGAAAGAAAGTAAAATTCATAAATGCAACGATATGGACAGACATCGTGATTTATTAGGAAATAAAGGAAGACAATGATATTCTCATTTGTCCTCCTCTATTAAAATAACTTGAATGAAAAACAAATAAAAGATATATGGAGTAATTGTTATTGCATTTTGAAATTAACATGATTTAAATAATATTCTTCAATTTTGTGACAATTAAGTTAAAGCTCGCGATCACCTCATTTTTTAAAAATTTGAAACATTACAATTCCATCTCAAATATAGTGCCTTTGATTATGAATTGAATCTAGTTATAGTTAACAACTTATTTATAAATTTGGCAAGCCTGAAAAGGGAAAATTTTTATACATTAAAAAATCGATAATCACATCGAAATCAAACCAATGAATGTATTACATTTGTCTTTTGATATATACTTTTATCACTCGACCAAAGTCAATTCGAGTAGTTTCCTCATACTAGTCTTCCTTAGCTATGAAAAATTTATATAACGTAATGTAAATACAAAGCAAAACCTAAATAAATACTAAACATGCAATAATAGAAAAAAATATGACGCAAAACTTATAGAATCGTAGCGTTCTAACTCAAGGTACTATATAGCAATTTACAAAGAATTTCCATTTTGCTGACTTGTTAGCATATTCGTGGTAACCTTATCCTTTTATGATAACTATATTCTATTCGTACCATATTATAATTGCCATTTCTTGTTTCATTATTTATAATTTAACCAGTCCGATATGCAGATCTCATAGAGATATCGAAACATACTAATCAGTTGATTAAAATAATTACTTTCCATAATTAAATATATATATATATATATATATATATAACTATATATATTATGTTGTATCGAAAATGTATTATAATTTGGTGCAAATATAAAACGAGTAATTTTTTTAACAAATTATTGATTTTCATTATCCTATAACAAAATTTGTTGAAGCATATTGAATACTATAGTGACTTGTACAATATAGTTTTTTTTTTTTTTCATATTATAAAAATGGTAGATGGGCCATTGTTGTAGAACGTGCTTGGCATAAATTGAAGCTAGAATTTTTCTAATAAATTTGGCAAAGTCTGAATAACTTGTATATATATACAAAAGTTAAATTCGTTTGGTATTATTTTTTTGATGATCTTATTTATACCTACGATTTTAAATGATCTTCCAGAAAAGATAAAAAATTTTTTAATGAAGTACAGATATTTTGCCTTTAGTTTATTGATTATGGTCGGTATATAAGACACGATAAATGGTAATTAAATTAAGAAACTTTGTTGTTTGATTAGCTTAGTGCTTGTCTCGAAATTATGAGCAGAACATTTGTTCTTATTGAATGTAATTTAATGTATACTTTGGAAGCTTTAATAATAATAATAATGGTAACAATAGTTGTAGTGTCCACATTCTTGCACTTAATTGTTTGGGGAAAAAGACTTGACCAAGGTTCATAATGGGACCTATCATCTTTCAACATATTGCAACTTTTTTTGCTACTATATAGTTTAAGATGGGAATAATTTCCTAAATATTTTAAAATAGGATCCTAATTACTATAATTAATGATATTATTTCGATATCAATAGTTTCTTTACGAATTAGATACATTTCTAAATAATCCCATAAAACTGGGGATTTTGTCTTTCTTTCACACAAATACTGATTATTGTTGCTCCATTATATTCATCGACTATCTCGCTAATGTAAAATTTTTTTGAAGTTACATACAAATGTTTGAAGTTCAACTAATGATGTTCATATTATTGATTGATATTTATTATGAAGGTTAATTTATCGTAACTATATTTTATATATAGAAAATACAATTGTATAAATTATTTTTTTGTACATGCAATGCATTGATTAGCATGCTATTAGCCGTGGTAGATTCACCTTTGTCAAATAGAAGTCAAACGACACCCCATCTAAAATTTATAGTGCAATACATTTATTTAGTGCTTTAAATCAATATTTAAATTTTTAGGGTAATGCTAAAAGAATGATCAGAAAATTTCGTTAGAATTTGGTCAGAAATTAAAAAAATTATAATATTTTTTTTAATTTTAAAATAAGTTCATATTTTTTATTTAAAATTTAATAAAATTAAAATAGTAAATTATTTTAAAAGGTAAGATAATACATGTAAAATATCATTCTGATAAAAAAAAAAATTCAAATTTGGAATATTTTATATCTTTTCTAAGTAAAAATCATGATTCGGTCTTGTAAATAATTATTGGAAATTTGCTTTTCATAGTGCATTAAATTTTAAGTAAACAACATCCAATAAGTAAGCATGTTCCTTATTTGATGAGTGAATGTACTAGTACCAACTAATTAAAAATTATACTTGATTTTATCCAAATGATTGATTAGACAAATTGACAGCCTTTTCTTGTTTAACAAAATGGAAGGCTCATTAATTAGTGGGATATGTATTTTTCGTACATTTTTAGTACAATAAATACTTGTGTTATTAAGATGGAAATTTTAGCTGGCCAACTACCTTGAATTTAGACAAGCCTCATAATTAATTAGCCTTCCAGCGTTTATTAGATTTGTCTAATTGTTATTTTTAGTACTATTGGCTGGTTAAAAGGGACTCCTTTTGTCTTAATACATTAAAAATGTCTCAATTGGACTAGTTTACTTATACGTTGAATCACTTTTTTGGTTTCCTATTTTTCTTTTTTATTTTAAAACATATTCGAGAGTTTAATACTATTATTATATAACTTTAGCTAATAATTCATAGATAAAGCTTTCGACTCTAAACATTGTATAATTTTTTGGAAGTAATAAATCAATCATATAGTATAACAAAACCTTGGTATCTTAGACCAATACACTAATATATCTAAATTTAATTTTTCATAATACATAAAACATTTCTTGATTTTAAAATCGACTTTATTACATGATGACATGAGACAACATGGAGAGTAATGAATTAAACTATGATATGTTAATTAAGTAGATAACTTTGCACCCTCCTATCATATCTTGGTCTTTTTAAAAAAATAAAATAAAATAAATTACATCACTGTTATTTTGTTTTTTGATTTTCCACCTAGTATCCTGTACTCACCTCTTTAACAATAGTGATTTTGTACTCAATAAATTTGAATTCGAAATCTCTGATTAAAAATAAAAAAGTAATTATCACTCTATCACAATTCTGATCGATTATACTAATATCAATTAACACTTTAATTTAATGGGAGATGGAATCATAGAAAAGGTGGCTAAATTTGGTAGCAGTAGTGGAAGCTTCACTGTTTAAAGAGTTTGGGATTCTGCATATATATAGATTTTATTACAGGCATGATTTGGTGTGATAGAGTAATAGTTTAATTGTTGAAGTGATAAATAAAGGAAAAGAAATAGTGGAACTGGTCTGTATTATTAATTTATTAAAATTTGTATAGAAAAAGTACCTAGAAATTTGAAAACAAAAGACTGAGTTTTGTAGGGTAACAGACACAGTCTCCCACATGTAGCATGTGTATTAAGAATAGTCAATTCTAATTTCAATGCCTTGAGAGCTTAATCCAACACTTTATTTATATTTATTTAGGCCTACAAATACTTGCTACAAAATGTTAAAAATTAGAGCTTATAAGTAATTCCAATTTTCACTTGACACTAACATAAAATTGACTCAAAAATCAAGGAGGTCGCGTGGGCTATGCTTATGTGGCCAATTCAACAATACTTTCTCTATCCATAATTACTTATCTATTTTAAAATAACACTATCTATTAAGAAAATAATAATAAATATAATAAATTTTTTATTTTATTTCCTATTAATAATAAAGTAGATGAATTAAAAATTTAAAATTTTCAAAAAGTTCTATATTTTCTAAAATAATTAATTGATGGTATAATGAGTAATTTCTTTTTAACCATTTTTGATTTGTCAAATGAAAAAATAATTAAAAAATGTGGACAAGTGATTAGGGATAGAAGAAGTAGTTGTCACTGTACAATGGTAAACTTACATAGTTTCTTAAGGAGTGTGAAATCTAAAATAGTGATATATAAATAGGAACCGAGGGAGTATTTATCATTTCACTTTACTTTTATGAAAGAAAGT